TTGTAGATCTAAAACTAAAGACATCACCAAAAAACAGAGCAACAAAAACAAACTTAACGCGAAAGTAAGACCATAAAAAATAAAAATAATTGACAAATACTCCAAACCCTAGCACCTCGGTCGCTCCAGGGCGGCGGTTCAAGAGGGGGGCGGTCCGCAGATTTGTCTTCTCCCTTGCCCAAAACTCGATCCAGAAATTGTCAGGCGATTTTATAATCGAAGCTATCAATCACAGACTTCCAAATCAGATCCATAAGAGCACATCCATAAACATCAACAATATAGAAGCAAATCACTCACTGGACAAGAAACGACGCAAGCCGCCTGCCGGAAAGACAAATCCTAGACGAAAGTTAGATAGAAGATCACGATCTCGAGGTTTAAAACTCGAGATCACGATCTCGAGGTTTAAATCTCGAGATCATGATCTCGAGGTTTATACTTCAAGATCTTAATCTCAAGTTTGCCTCGAAGAATAATGGCGAAATCCACCTGCAAAACAAACCTCAGAATATCGAAATCTTCAGAATTTCAAAATGTTTGGAACATCGAAAACTTTGGAGTTTCGAAAACCTCAGAAAATCGAAAACTTGTTGTTTGAAAAAATCAGAACATCGAAAACTTTTAAAAAAAATTGATAAGCAGAGATTCATTCAGAAATCCTATAATGTAAAGTTTCGAAGTGTCCTCAACAAGAAAGATATCAAGTTTAGAAGAAATTAGTGATTCATGAAACTCCAAACTTTGAAACATTCAAAACATAAAAAAATTAAAAAAATCTCGAAATCGCCAGAATGTCGAGATCCTAAACATCGAGATCTCAAATGTCGAAATCCCAAAACTCGAAATTCCAAAACTCGAAGTTTCAAAACTCGAAATTTCAAAACTCAAGATTTCAAAACTCGAAATTTCAAAACTCGAAATTTCAAAAACTCGAGATTTCAAAACTCGAAATTTCAAAACTCGAGATTTCAAAAACTCGAGATTTCAAAACTCGAAATTTCAAAACTCGAAATTTCAAAACTCGAGATGAGGAATTCGAGGCCCTAAATGTCGAGATCCTGCAAAATGAAAACTTTGAATTTTGAAAATCTGAAAACTTTTCCGAATAGCCGTGAAGGTCAAGATTCTCCTGTATCAGTTTCAAGTCAAAATCGTTTCTGCAGCAGTGAAAAACAAGAATCTCGAGATCTCAATTGAGAGATCTGCGAAACTAAAAAATGCAGAAAACGAAAAAGAAGATATGCGGCTGGATCGGTTTTGAAAGGCGATTCCAACAGTATAATTTTTATAAAATTTCGTTCACAAACAAGATTACAAGAGCAAATCTCTACATCAAAGAAAAACAGAAGAAAAGCAGAGCAGTTCTTCGTTAGATCCAAAAAACCGCAGATAGATTCAACATGTTTCACGCCTCCGCTCTGATACCACATGATAGTCCCAAAACTTAACAATCGAACAATCATAACAGGTATAAAGAAGAAGATAGAAAGATAAGATATTCAACAACGCATCTGGTATACCGTATGAAACCCTGCTGTTCTCCCTCAAGAAGGAGAGCAGCGGAAACCCTACTCTCTCTCTATCTCGCCTCTGCGTCTTTAAAGCCTCCAACCAACATGATTCCCGTAAGTTAGCCTCCTTTTATAGGCGAAGTTGGCTAACTTACGGGTTACAAGGAAGCTAACGGGCTTATACACATTTGTGGCCCGTATTACACGTTTAATTAATAACTACACAAATACAAAGATATTTAATTAGATTGGACACCATTAATCTCTTCGCATTGCTCTGCTTCCAAGAAAGTTTTCTATAAAATTTCTTCTCGAGCAGTTGGGTGCGCAAAAACATTTGGGCGCGCAAAAACATTAGATGGATACCAAATATATAAATTACTGGTTTTATTTAAAGAGAAATTTAGCTAATTTATTCTAAACTTACATCGAAGCTCATTAGCTGTTATTAATCCTATTAGTTTTGCTTATAAATTATTTTGAATAAGGTTTTCTATAATATATTTCATTTGAAAAGTTCCCACATTGAATGTAACCACTCATATAAATCTTTTGGAGGAACTCATATAAATATTTTCTTGTGGCACTAAATTGGAATATTTTGGTTGACCATCTGCATACATTCCAGCAAAATTATCACTTGAATGGAAATTAAAACCTATTAGACATAGGATACAATTTGTAAAAAATTAAGGAAAAATTGAAAATAATAATCTCAATTATTTTAGTTCTGCTGTTAATATTTCCAAGTATCGATTATTTAGATGTGATTTCAATTATTAGGATATCTTTTCAAAAATAGACTCTAACCGACTGCAACTTGGTATAGCAGGTTATTTAAAAAAGAGAACTAAGTGTAAGCTATAAATAATATCAAGTATAGTTGATCTTTTTTTATTTTATTAATCCAAGTTATCAACTCTGAATTTTCTGGAGATGTAAAAATATTTTATAAATTTCCAAACTAAATATTTTTAAACATGAAATCTGTTTAATATTTTTACTACCAAGGTTAATCAAAATCTGTTTTACTACCAAGGTTAATCAAAATTTGTTTTCAATAAAATTACATTTTTTATTTTTTCCCAATTTATTTTTTCCAGTTGTGTTACCAATTTATGATTTTGTATTATTTTTTATGAACTAAGTGAAATTGAAATGTGCATGATAAAAGGTACGACGTGATGTTATTTTTGTACCTTTTATTCCACACATTTTCGTTTCATCTAATGCACACTTGAGTTTAAATTTTTATGCAGCACATTTCAATATCATCTAATGCACATTTCAGTTTCACCAAATGCACAATTCAGTTCCACATAATACAATCCAATAGTCCAGATTCGTTCTCATTTCTCTTCTGGGAGTCCGTTCTTACCGGAACCACTCCATATATATATAAGGGGAAAATAATTAAAATACCCCAAACTTTGATGGGGTGTGAGATAAACGCCCCAAACTTTCATATGTAAGTTAAATACCCCAAACTTTATATAAAAAGTTATTTTAACACCATGATTATGTATTATTTCTTTCAAAAATGTAAATTTATGGTGTTAATTGCATAATTTAAAATAGCAAATTGAAAACATTAGAATTATATATAATGGTGGGTAATACTATTTATTTTACAATGGAAGCTTAGAATGTTAATTGTATTTTTATGAATGTTAAAAATTATCAAATTATGAAATAAAAACCAAAAGTTAATATTTTTGAAAGAAATAATACATGATCATGGTGCTAAAATAATTTTTTTGTAAAGATTGGGATATTTAAATTACATATGCATGTTTGGGGTGTTTATCTCACACCCTATCAAAGTTTGGGGTATTTTAATGATTTTCCTCTATATGTCATTATGTTTGTGTGTGCGCGTGTGTATAGTTCTATTTATTAGTATTAACATTGTATTTATGACCCAGGGTATGTTTCGGAATTTATGGGTACTCATCAGACTATTAAAGTCAGCAGATTTTGTAATGGTGGGCCTAAGCTTTATCATGGCAAACGTAAGTTAAAGTAAGAAAAAATTCAGTTTTGGTCATTATACCACTTTGTCTCTTACTTTCGGATTGTCCATATTTAGTCCCTTACCACCCCTCGTTCTTCCGGCCAAAATTCCGGTAAAATTTAATGCAAATTTTAGGTATGAAAAACCAAATTTAATGCAAAGATTGATATGAAAAACTCAACCTTATATAAAATTTAATGCAAAGACTGATTCTGAGGTTGATAAGTGGACTAAATTTGGTGGAAATTTGGCCAGAATGACGAGGGGTGGTGAGGGGATAATCGTCACGGACTAAACCAGACCAGCAATTTTCGTAAAAAGTGATCCTAGACGCGGTGGCATTTCCGTAAATAATCGAAACTTTTCTGTCATCACAAAAAATGCATCAGATTAGCAAAAAAGTGCGTCAGAAATAGGTAAATGTGTAACTTCTCACTTCTCACGTTAATATGTCTTCTCATTAGAACCCAACCCTGTATATAATTATATACTCCCTCTGTCCCTTATAACTTTGCCACTTTCCCTTTTAATCAATCAATTTGTGGTTCCTCTTATTTCTCTCTCTTTTGCACAAATCTCTACCACACAATTTTTACTTTATTATTTTACGTGCGAGTCAAACTTGGCAATCCTTTTAAAGACGGAAGGGGTATATGTTTGTGTGTGCGCGTGTGTATAGTTCTATTTATTAGTATTAACATTGTATTTATGACCCAGGTTATGTTTAGGAATTTACGGGTAGTCATCAGACTATTAAAGTCAGCAGATTTTGTAATGGTGGGCCTAAGCTTTATTATGGCAAACGTAAGTTAAAGTAAGAAAAAATTAGTCTCGTCACTATTATACCACTTTCACATTTAGTCCCTTACTTTCAGATTGTTCACATTTAGTCCGTGACCATTATCCCCTCACCACCCCTTGTCTTTCCGGCCAAAATTCTGAAAAAATTTAATGCAAATTTTAGGTATGAAAAAACAAATTTAATACAAAGACTGATATGAAAAACCCAACCTTAAATAAAATATAATGCAAAGATTGATTCTGAGGCTGATAAGTGGACTAAATTTGCTGGAATTTTGGCCAGACCCCATACCAGACCAGACCAGCAATTTTCAATCGGATGTGTGGGGTATTTGACCGTTAAATACTTTTCATTTATTTTTTGTGTGGTTTTATTAATAAAATATATTTAAAATTTAAATGGTGACAATAAAAGCCTTTTCTATGAATATAACTGAATTAATACAAAAAAATTAGTTAATTTGAAATTTTCCAAGAACGTGATGTAGTCGGTGACTAGTCATGAGTGACTCATCATCTAAATTCATAAATACACTATAGTGACTCTTGTCTAATTACTCGTATAACTAATCTTATTTCTATTCAAAAACATAACTAGTCATATCTTTGTCCGGAGAAGTGTATTAGTAATATAGGCGGCATTGAACTTTATTGCTTTATTTGGATACGAAGTACTCCGATATGTTTGATGTGGTAGTATATAAATACCAATGCTGCAATATAACTTGTAATCTCGTGAGTGCAAATCATTTACTACGAATTTAATTTGAAAGAAAGAAAATCACATACAGCGGCGGCATCATCAGGGAAAATGCTAAAAGGAGAAAGCAGCAGCCTGCGGCTATTCCTACTCGGCTTGTTGTCGCTTCTTCACATGCACCGAGTCCTTGGTAACGTAGAAGGTTCGATCCAATTCACACCCCTAATATAACTCCTTTCATTAATTTTAAGTTTTAATTTAACCACATCGTTCATTAGTAAAACTGACGTGATCGAATGAATGCCCCCCACACAGGGAAAATTCCCGAAATAGGATAAAAAAGCTTGAAAATTCCAAAATAGCACTGTCATGTTTTTATTCCCAAAATAGGAGTAATTACTGTCAAGTTTGGAAAATACTGTCATGTTTAAAGTCTGGTAGTGTCAAAACATGTCAGTAATCAATCTTATTTTGGGATTAAAAACATGATAATACTATTTTAAAATATACAAACGTTTTTAGTCTTATTTTGGATAATTTCTCTCGAAAGGGAAAAAACAAATTAAACATATCATTTCCTAAGAGCACGTATTCCACATGAAAAGTGATACGGAGTATGATGAAACTATTATCTTTATATTGCATTTTTTGCGGTGATAGAGAGTTTTAGTTTATATTTCAAATTTGGGGAATTTTGAATTTCCACCCCATCTTTTGAGTGATATTATTGGACTTTGCACCCCATTTCCAAAACTTTTAGACTTTGCACCCTATCTACAACATTTTGTGAAGAAAAATTCCTGAATAAGGTGCAAAGTCAAAGACATTTTAGGGAAAATATGGTGCAAAGTCTAAGAGTTTTAAAAATGAGGTACAAAGTCCAATATCAACCAATAAGCAGAGTGCAAAGTCAAAATATGCCTTCAAATTTCTACTATGGTTTTTTATCAAATCTAGTGCCAGGAGAGAGTCTACGTAATGGCTTTGATAGGCTGAAATTTAGAATATATAATGTTCCAGCTCATTCCAAATAGGTTGACTTATTTTAATTTGATATACATTAGATCTGAAATTGGAAGAGGATCTAAAACCGCTCTATATACGGAGTATTTAATATTTAACCGACGAGCTTATAAGTGATCTATATATGACTGTTTTTACGTACAACAGTTGAAGCTTTAAATGCTATGAAGAATGCACTTGAAGACCCAGGCAATGTTCTACATAATTGGGATACTAGTCTCGTCGATCCCTGCACTTGGTTTCGTATTACATGTGGTCAAGTAATAGGTGAACCGGATTACAAACATGTTATTCAAATGTAAGTTTGTACGTGCTTGTTTATTTTTTGATTTTTCCTTCCAACTAATGCATGTTTATTTTCGGTCAACTCCTACTTACCTTATTTTGGATTTATGAATGGGACACCCATACTACTTAATTATTTATTTAATAAATTAATTAACATGTTTACTTTCAGTAATCTGGGAATTTCAGGGCTCTCTGGTACACTCGTTCCAAATCTCCAGAACCTTGCACATTTGCAGTATTTGTGAGTTCAAATTATATTCTTTCATTAGTTTCATAGCATCAAATCAAAATTAAAATATGTCTACGTAGGTTCCGGATTGAATAAAAATGACTTCTAGTGTGAAAACTTTAAATCGTTTATTTTCTTTCATTGTCAATGCACTTTAAAGCTCAACTCTTACACTTTTTGAACTTTGGTCAAATCACCCCAAATAAAAAATGCAGTGAAATTGTGTTAAAATGTCAAAGTTTCCCGACAATGCAAAATAGTGCAGCATAGGAACCTAAAATCTAATAGTGCACAACATTGAAGGAAAGTTAACGATTTTCATTTTTCACGTGAAGAGTAATTTTTGTTTGATCCACACCTTGTCCACACACACACATATAGGACAATGTTCATATATATATAAGGTAGACCTAAAAATTACAAGTTTTAGGCCTCTTTCATTTGAAGTTCTTCCAGATCGATTTTTTAAATCAAATGTTGTAAACATGTTCTCCATCAATTATAGATCATCTCCACCAAATTTCAGATTAAAACTTATTCGAGCATTCAGTTAAATAAAATATTGAAAAAAACTGCATTTTTTATACTACTCCGTATATAAAACTGTGCAATTTTCAATAATTTATTTAATTGACTTTCCGATTAAATTTTAAACTGAAATTTGATAGACATGATATAAATTTCATGGAGACCACACTAACAAACTTTTATCAAAAAGATAAACTCGGAGGCACCGAGACCTAAAATAGTATCGTTTAAGTCTATGCATACACATCTAATATAGGGAGCCCATACACACCACACACTCACATTATACACGCTCTTATGCACAAGTGCATCAAAGACAGGTATGCATTTATATTATGGAGTCGCATAATAAAATTGAGAGATGTTATTAAGTAATTATTATCATTTTCCGGCCAGGGAGCTTTTTGGTAATGCAATCTATGGTACGATACCTGAGGAGTTTGGCAAACTATCAAACTTGGTGAGCTTGGATTTGTACGATAACAATTTGACCGGGCAAATACCCCACACGTTTGGCAGTTACAATCATCTCAGATTTATGTACGTTTGACCTTGCTTAGCTTTCACCCGTGCATACATAGTTTGAGATAATGTGAAAATATGTTCAAATTATATGCATCGAACAATGTATTTACACAATATATAAACAATGCAAAACATTGCATAAAAGCGGAATTTTCAAAAACTATCAAATCTTATTTTACCGCGAAAGTTGCAGCGCAATGCACATACTATTTAAAAGAATGAGAGCTCCAACATCAGTCGAACGGTTAATTCGGAGGATGTAACAATGCACATATTATAGTACGTAGTAATATAGTTCACACTGGCCGATGACCATGTTAAAATGTAAATAAAACTAATGATAAAAATAAGAGCTAGTATTGAGAGAGCTAGTATTCATGTAAAGGAAATATGGCGTAGCTTTCTTACTTCTATTACATGCGGGCTACATACACACACACACACACATATATATATATATATATATATATATTACAATACGTGGTGTGAATAATAGAAGGAAATAATGCATGGGCCATGCATAGCATGAACCCATGTTTACATGCTTACAAATAGGAAAACAATACACATGGTACGTGGATGATATGAACCCATGTTTACATGCTTACAAATAGGAAAACAATACACATGGTACGTGGATGATATGACATAAAATAAATAATCTCAATACTCCCCCTCAAGGTGGCGTGTGAAGGTTGCGAACACCCAACTTGCTCCTGAGAAATTGGAAACGATCACTGCCGAGTGCTTTAGTGAAAATATCAGCAATTTGATGTGTTGTAGAGATACAACATGGTTGGATTTCACCACTAGCCACACGTTCACGAACGAAATAACAGTTCATTTCTACGTGCTTGGTACGTTCATGAAAAACAGGGTAAAGTGCAATGTGTCGAGCTGCTTGATTATCACAAAAGAGGGAAGTAGGACCATTTTGAGTAATAGTTAGGTCTCGAAGTAACCATCGTAACCATAAAATTTCACTAACTGTGACAGCCATGGCACGATATTCTGCTTCCGCGGAAGAACGTGAAACAACAGACTGTTTCTTCTTCCTCCAAGAGACTGGAGAATTGCCAAGGGTGATAAAATATCCCGTGCTAGATCGGCGAGTGTATGAGCACCCTGCCCGGTCAGCATCACAATAACCTTTCAAAGAGAAATCATTATCTGAAGATAAGAAAGTTCCTTGTCCTGGAGTCTGTTTTAAGTAGCGAAGGACACGTGTGGCAGCGTCGAAATGAGACTGGCGTGGCTGGCTTAGAAATTGACTAACCTGACTAACCGAGAAGACAATGTTAGGGCGAGTCACAGTAAGGTACAATAAGCAACCGATCAAGCGGCGATATGAAGGGGCATCTATAGGAGGGTTATCATCATCAGGTCGAAGTTTTAAGTTCTGTTCCATGGGAAATTGAATGGGACGACCAACAAGGAGACCGCTTTCTTCCAGGATGTCAAGAGTATATTTGCATTAACTCAGTACAAACCCCTCGGGTGAACGAGTGACCTCGATTCCGAGAAAATATTTTAACGTACCCAAGTCTTTGATACTAAATTGGTCGTCCAAGTAGCCCTTAATTTTGGTGATATGAGATGCATCATTTCCGGCTAGGATGACATCATCTACATATATGAGAGCGAATGTGCAGTTCTCACCTTGTTGAAAAAGGAACAAGGAATGATCTGCCCGAGATTGACGAAATCCAACTTTCAAAAGTGATTGGGTAAATTATATTTATGGTACCAATTACGAGAAGCTTGGCGCAAGCCATAGAGCGATTTTTGTAATTTACAAATATGAGTGTCGCCATCTTTGCTAAATCCTTGGGGAACACGCATGTAAATATCTTCTGAAAGGACTCCATGGAGAAAGGCATTATTGACATCCAATTGATGTACTACCCAATTTCGTTTGGCAGCGACGGCCAACAGACATCGTACTGTGACGAGTTTCGCAACTGAAGCAAAAGTCTCATGAAAATCAATTCCTTCGACTTGTGTGAAGCCTTTGGCAACCAATCTTTCCTTGTAGCGTTCCACATCGCCGTTAGGTTTATATTTTATTTTATAAACCCATTTAGAGTCGACTGCTTTCTTTCCTGGCGGTAGCTGTACCAAGGTCCAGGTACCATTTTCTTCTAAAGCACGAATCTCCCGTTGCATAGCCTCCCGCCACTTTGGAGCTAAAATGGCCTGCGAAAATTGTTTTGTCTCATCATGTGAAGTGATGGCCGTCAGAAAGGCTTTGTGTCGATTAGAAAACTTCTCATAACTGATAAAATTAGATATTGGGTATACTACTGAGTCAGCTTGATTTGCAATTGACCGTGAATGGTCCAAAGATGGTGGTAGGTCAACATCATATTCATTGAGGTGCTTAGGGACTGGAGTTTGATTGTTCATATCACGTGGGTGACTTCTCAAATGTGATTCCAGATTTTTGTCACCATTTATATGCTCACTGGGACCCGGCGGAAAATTGAGCACTGTGGGATGCATAGAAGGTGTAAAAGCCAGATTATCTCTTCCATGTGCGTCCAAAGAGGTGTCAGGAGCAAATTGTCCGGTGGGTAAGAGTGGACAAGATACTGGCTCAGCACGTGTGTCCTCATCGTCTGTGATATTATGCTCGGTGGGTGAGAGGTGACGAGTAGACGGTCCCACTTCTGTTCCTGTACCGTTTTTGCTCATGCTGCTAGTCGCGCCCAAGTGGTCTGGTTTTCTGCAGACGGGATTGAAGCAGTTCTGTGGCCGGCGGTGAGTTTCCGGATATTGCTGGGGTCCATGCGTGTACCCTTCTCTGTGAGGATAGCCGCAGATTTGTTCCAAATGATCTGGCTCCAGGTTGACGGAAGGGAGAGCTTCTAGTCGATATACTGCTGCATGGCGGTTAATTCCGTCAGGGTCTTCGACGTTAAGTCTGATGCGATGACCCTCATGTGAAGTGGTACCGCCATGGCCCACAACCTTTTTGTATACAAGGTCAATAATTTCTTTGAAATCATGTCCTTCTTGATTTATCATTTTAAATGGGAATTCATTTTCAATAAATGTGACATCCCCAGAACTGTAAATTTTCTGTTTTTGCAAATCAAATACTCTATAAGCCTTCTGACCATAGGGATAATCAAGAAATATACAAGGATTCCCCCTTTCTCTAAATTTATCCTTGCGTTTATTGTCATGTGCATATACTAGACACCCAAAAACGCGTAGATGTTCATAGTAAGGTTCCCTCCCAAATAACATCTCATAGGGGCTTTTGTTAAAAATAACAGGCAACGGTAACCGATTGATAATATAAACAGCAGTAAGGATGCATTCCCCCCAAAAATCAATAGGCAATCCTGATTGAAAACGAAGAGCCCTAGCGACTCCCAATATGTGTCTGTGGTTACGCTCTACAACCCCATTTTGTTGAGGGGTGTCAGTGCACGATGTTTCCAGAATAATTCCATACCGGACATAATATTCAGATAAAATCTTGGTTTGAAATTCCATTCCGTTATCGGAACGTATCCGTTTAACTCGTTTCTCAAATTGAGTTTTTATCATGTTGCAAAATTGTATCAATTTTTGACAAACTTCAGACTTATTTTTCAAGAGGTAAACCCAAACACCTCTAGAAAAATCATCAACAATGGATAAAAAATAGCGTGCTCCTGAAGTAGAATCGCATCTATAACTTCCCCATATATCACAATGTATTAATTCAAAGCAGCAAGTAGTCTTACTTGTACTTTTGGGGAACGGTAGCCGTGTTTGTTTAGCGCGTAAGCATGGATCACAAAAGCTATTATTTTGTTGCAAATCTTTGAGAAATGAAATGTGTTGCAATTTTCCATTTGAAGCATGACCCAGACGCTTATGCCATAAATCAGAATCAAAAGTAGCTCCCATTGCTACTCTTTCACCTCTAGGTAAATATAGATGATAAAGACCGTTATGAAATTCACCCTTACCAATCAGTCTTCTCGAGGGTAAATCCTGTATTATACAGAAATCTGAAAAAAATGTGAGTGTGCAATTTAGGTCACTTGTGAGGCGACTGGCGGAGAGCAGATCACATTGAAGCTGTGGGACGTAAAGAACATGACGAAGAAAGAACCCATTAGACAGGTAAAGGCTACCAACGGCAGAAACTGTAACTAATTCCCCATTAGGAATTCTCACTGCCGGCTCGGATGAATGAGTAGAAATGTTGAAAAGATTTGTACTGTCACAAGTGATATGCTCACTTGCTCCAGAATCAATTATCCAGGTACGAGTGTGAGGCGGCATCGACGTCACGCTGATATGAGTAAAAATAAATCAAAACTAACCAATATACTGATTTCCAGGGTTTGTCTCTGATACCATGTTAAAATGTAAATAAAACTAATGATAAAAATAAGAGCTAGTATTGAGAGAGCTAGTATTCATGTAAAGGAAATATGGCGTAGCTTTCTTACTTCTATTACATGCGGGCTACACACACACACACACACATATATATATATATATATATATATATATATATATATATATATATATATATATATATATATATATATATATATATATATATATATTACAATAGGTGGTGTGAATAATAAAAGGAAATAATGCATGGGCCATGCATAGCATGAACCTATGTTTACATGCTTACAAATAGGAAAACAATACACATGGTATGTGGATGATGTGACATAAAATATATAATCTCAATAGACCAAATACCCAATTGTATAGTTAAAGCATGTTTTCAATTTAATTGATTTCAGTTCGAGATCAGATCGCAAACTTAGATAATTAAATTAGATCAAATCAGACCGAATCAGATCAGATCGAATCAGACTTTGACTGTTGCAAGATATATACAAAACCGATATCTATCAAACCAAACTAGTTCAGACAAAACTAGTCTACACTAGAAATTTTAATCCAATTAAAAGCATCCTAAATTTTTATTTTAACCGGTACTATGTATGTACTTATGTGAGTAAACGTAGTATATCTCTGAGTTATGTTTAAGCTTTATTTTTTTATTGTGAGTCGATATGAATGTTTGGGAATTGGAAAACAATTTGACTAGAAATTTGTTAAGGACAACTCGATCTTTAATTAATTTATTTGGTGGTATTGGCAGGAGGCTTCAAAACAATACATTCACGGGCATTGTTCCTAGGTCTTTTATCACAATATCCACGCTCCAAGTCTTGTAAGTGACATCATGCATTGTTTTTTTTCAGGAAGATAAATTTGAGTCAAGTGACTGAAGTGTACGTACGTGATCCGAATCATCCGATCATAGTCTAATTAGTTCAAGAGTGTGTATACCGTGCAACCGGTGCATGGTGAGCACCCATTGGGTATTATTTTTTCTCTTTTTAAAAAAATGGTAATAACTTTTTATTTTTGATCCGATTTTTATAAAATTTATATCAACATTTTTTATTTTTCATGATCTTTCAAATGAGAGCAATATTGCCTATGTAATTTTAACATATTATCGAACTATTATATTAACCTATGTAAAATATGTAATTTTATGTGTAGAAATATGTAACTCACGTCCAGTCAGGCCAAATGCAACTCGTGTGTATAAATATGTAACTCCACGTGTAAAAATATGTAACTTTACGTGTAACTATACTGCCGTCGTGTAAACATTGACTTATCTTTACACAAGAACCTTCCAACTTTGTTCCGTTCTCATGGGTGTGGCCGTTTTGGCCATGGGTCACCGTCCTGGTTCTGCAAGAGTTTCTAAAGAACTGAGCCTATACAGTTCTCCTTTGAAGCGGCCCTCTTCTCTCTCACATAGGTGATATTTTCACGAGTATCCCGCATACTCTTCTAATGTTATCGAGTAGATCAACATTTTAGAATCATTAAAGAAAACGTTTTTGCTAACCTCGTGCGGGAGTCACTGTTTTAACGAGGAGTGGGTAGGAGTCCGGGACCCCCACAGTGACCATCCTTCGCTCTATAATTTAGTTGCCCTTTTGAACCTAGGACCAACTAGGTTGGGTATCCACTATAGAACTTTTCAATTCACGAGCTTTAGTCCCATTCCTCGTGACAACTTCTCCAACAATTCTCTATCCAATGCCTTGGTTAGCGGATCCGCTATGTTATCCTTTGACTTCACGTAGTCAACAGTGATAACACTCGTTGTGAGGAGTTGTTTAATGGTGTTATGTCTACGATGAACGTGTCTAGACTTACCATTGTACATATTGCTCTATACCCTTCCAATTGCCGCTTGACAATCGCAATGTATGCATATTGGAGGGACAAGCTTTTCCCAACTTGGAATATCCTCGAGAAAATGGCGTAGCCATTCAGCCTCTTCAGTGCACTTATCCAAGGCTATTAGCTCAGACTCCATTGTGGATCTAGCTATTAACGTTTGTTTTGAGGATTTCCATGACACGACTGCACCTCCCAAAGTGAAAACATATCCACTTGTGGACTTTGAGTCCTTAATGTCGGATATCCAACTAGCGTCGCTATACCCTTCAAGTACACCTGGATATCTTCCATAGTGCGGTCCAAGGTTTTGGGTTTTACGTAAATACCTCAAAACCCTTACTATTGCCTTCCAGTGTTCATCACCGGGGTTGCTAGTATATCTACTCAACTTGCTAACCACAAAGGCAATATCAGGCTTGGTACAACTCATTAGATACATCAAGCTTCCAATAATCCTAGTGTATTCTACTTGAGAAATACACTCTCCACGATTTTTGGTAAGTTGTACGTTTTTATCTAATGGAGTCCTTGCCTCTTGAAAATCATCCTTATTAAATTTCGTAAGGATTTTATCAACGTAATGGGATTGGCTTAGCGTAAGACCGTCAGGTCCTCTAATTATTTTAATCCCAAGGATTAAATCGGCCAGCCCCATATCCTTCATGTCAAATTTAGAATTTAACATGCTTTTGGTAGAATTAATCATTAGATTATTGCTACCCACGATGAATATATCATCCACGTATAAACATAAAATGACATAGCCGTCTACCTTGCTCTTCACATAGACGCATTTGTCACTTTCGTTTATTTTAAACCCATTAATTAACATTGCATGATCGAACTTTTCGTGCCACTGTTTAGGGGCTTGTTTCAATCCGTACAATGATTTAATTAATTTACACACTTTTCTTTCTTGGTCTGGAACACGAAAGCCTTCGGGCTGTTCCATATAGATTTCTTCGTCTATATCGCCATTTAGAAAAGCGGTTTTTACGTCCAATTGATGAACTTCAAATTTCCGCAATGCGGCAATTGCTAGTATCATCCTAATGGAATTTATTCTCGTCACAGGAGAATACGTGTCAAAGTAATCATGGCCCTCACGTTGCTTGTATTCTTTGATTACAAGTCTGGCCTTGTACTTATCTATGGAACCGTCAGGTTTCATTTTCCGTTTAAAAATCCACTTGGATCCCAAAGGTTTATTTCCCGGAGCAAGATCAACCAATTCCCATGTGTGATTTTTAAGGATAGAATTCACCTCACTTTTGATGGCTTCTTTCCGCATAGGCCCTTCGGTAGACGTCACGGCTTTCGTATAAGTCCGTGGTTCATTTTCTACCAAACATGTTAGAAAATCCGGTTCATTTTCTACCATACATGTTAGAATATCCGAGTCAAATTCTACCAAGTATGTGAGAATATTCGGTCCGATTTTTTTTTCAATTCTAGCACGTTTGCTACGTCTGGGTTCGGGTTCTTCTTCGGACCCCTCGCTAGTATTTTCCATAGCTACGTCAAATGTTCGTTTTGACGTGCTAGGCCCTTCGTTGGACTTGCATGGAAATACATCTTCAAAGAATGAAGCATTCCTTGATTCAATTATTGTGTTTTTATGTACATCCGAATTATTCGAATCGTACACTAAAAACTGATACACACTACTATTTTGTGCATATCCAATAAAAATACAATCCACCGTTTTTGGACCTATTTTTATTTTCTTAGGTGTTGGTACAAGCACCTTAGCAAGACACCCCCACACTTTTAAATATTGATAGGAAGGCCGTCTGCCTTTACACAACTCGTACGGAGTTTTGTCATATTTTTTCCGGGGAACCTTATTTAAAAGGTAATTGCTTGTCAAGATTGCTTCGCCCCACATATTTTGTGGCAAGCCCGAACTTACTAGCATCGCGTTCATCATATCTTTCAATGTGCGATTCTTTCGTTCGGCAACACCGTTTGATTGAGGTGAATAGGGTGCGATACGTTCGTGTACTATACCCACACTAGCGCAAAAGTCACCAATTGGTGCTTCATACTCACCACCTCGATCACTCCTAACCGTCTTAATCCGTCGATTAAGTTGGTTTTCCACTTCATTCTTATAAAGAATGAATTTATTGATTGCTTCATGTTTATTTTTTAATAAATAAACGTAGCTATAGCGAGTGCTATCATCGATAAAGGTAATAAAATATTTATTACCGCCACATGTTTGTATTGATTTAAAATCACAAACGTCACTATGAATTAATTCAAGTGGTTCCGTTTTTCTTTCAACTGATTTGAAAGACGTTTTCGCTAGTTTTGCCTCTACACAAACTCCACATTTGTGTTTCACATCAATTGTGAATTTAGGAATGTGTTCCATGTTAATTAATCTACGTATAGAATTAAAATTAACATGTCCTAATCTACCATGCCACACATTGGAAGACTCAAGCAAGTAAGCAAAAGGGATTTTATTATTATTATTGATGGAGTATATGGGTCTGAGCCCCCGGACCCACATACTCGGAGGAACAGAAAGCGCAAGACACAGAGTGGCACCCTCGTCAGCCAAGACGCCCCCGTCGGCCGAGATGGAGTATATGACTTTTGTCTCTGCTCCTCTAATTTTGAACTCCTATTTCTTTTTCATTCTAATGTAAATTTTCTACAAGATTTTTTTCAGACAATTCTTTCAAAAATTCATATCGAATGACAATTCAATAAAAATATATACCTCTCTCACTTTTCTATTAAAAGCTCCAACTTTCTAAATAATTATGAGTATATTATTTAAATTAAATGTGCATTTAATTTAAGGAATTGGTTGGTCTGAAACAAGAAATTGATGTTTCTTTATGTTATACTATTATGAGCATACACAAATTGATATTTGAGCATACTAGAAATTTTAAATTATTCTTTTAAATTTTCGATGCTCATTTCGTAAGTTATCTATACTTATTTGATACTGGTGTAATACTCATTTTAAAAGGAGCATTATATCATACATTTTATAATATCATATCCATGCATATTGGTGTAATGCTTATTTTAATTTTTTCGATACTCATTTCATAGGTTATTCATTCTCATTTAATATTTGAGCATACTAATGATTTTAAATGAGTTTTTTGAATTTTTCGATACTCATTTGTAAGTATGTATGCTCATTTTATATTGGTGTAGTACTCATTATATTTGTAAGTTATGTATGCTCATTTGGTGCCGATGTTATGCTCATTTTTAAAATGTCATATCAATGCATATTTCAAAAGTATCGTATTACATTAGACTCACATATTGAAATTAATAAGAGTGAATTATAGATATAATTTAATAAGTTTTTATAAAAGAAAAAAATATGAAAAAGACAAAGAATTACTCCGTAGAAGATATGAAGTACAGATCGTGATACTCATTGTTAGCCTCCTAATACTCAATAAAATAGGTTAGATGCTCACTAAAAGTACACTATTGCTCATTTAGCAGAAACCGTAATTTTTCGCTTAAATTACAAAAATGCCACCGAATTTTTTTGGCCTGTATGTACACCCGGATGTACCATATAGACACTCATGAAGTTGTGCACTCTTTATACCTGCGCCACTCAATTTCAATATATCATTTTATATATCCAAGTTCTATCATATCCCAATACCAAAAAATATTGAATTTGACAATTTTGGGATTGACTTATGGTACAAATTTTGCAAGGATCCGTGAATCTACGAAATAACTATTATACACTCAAAAAATAACTTGATTGAAAAGATTTCGCACATATTGATCGACGATTCAGTGTCAAATAGGTCGAGACAAAACAAATTTGACATGGATTTAATATGTGTCAATCACGTTATTTGGTTGTAGTAATATATTTTTAATTGTAAAAGTCGCTTGGTTTCGAGATAATTGCCATCAAGGTATGAGAAAACTCTATGTCAATCTCTGATTGATCAGTGCCAAAACCACCCCTATTAGGTTATGTTCTTTGCGATCGAATTTTATTAGGTTATGTGATTCAAAAGTACTTTCTTGAGTTTATAAATATGCACGTCTATTTTCATGATTTGTATTGATTATGAAAACTTACTTTTCCTCAATTATGCATCATAAATTGAATTTACAACTTCATTTAAGGATGGATAATGTAAAAATAACCATAAAATAGTTCATATAATAATACAATGATAGTGTGATACTTTATTTTAATATCATATGGGACTAATACTACTCACACTCATGATTGACACAGAAACGTTTCTGAGAACTGTATAGATACATCAGTACCGAATCCGCCTGAAGTCGTTGATTTCTTTGCAAAGTTTGGCGAGGCTAGGTATATTTTGACATAATGTTTAAAGTGTTTACGTATTATTTGTAACTATTATAAGTGTAAACATGTTTTACACACACTTCACAAACTTTCACCCAATCATTTAATGGGTCCCTAATTTGGATTCATGAAACAAGTTGGGTGAAATTAAAATTCCATGTCACAAATGAGAAATATAAGCAAATTACACACATGCTTAGGTTTGTGTGCATACAAATTACAAATATATGTCTGTGTGCAAAATACATATTATATTAGCACATGGATCTATGTGTGTATTCACAAGATCGAATTATCATCAAACAATGATTTTACATGTTTTCATATTGAATTGGTATTTTCCACACATACCTATTTATGTGTGAGCTAATTGACATGCATGTGTGATTTATCCATGTGAAAGTGTGATTTATCATTTTTCTATTAATTAATCTTCCTCTTCATTAGTTTTGCAAATGAATGTTTATATTTTTACTTTTCACTCATTGCAGTAATTCAATAAAAATTTACTTTGGTTTCTAATTAGATATACTTCTAATATCTCTCAAAAAAATAGATATTACATCTAATTTCAGATCACTAATTTCTCATATCCTACAAATGAATGTTTATATTTATACTTTTCACTAATTGCAATTGAATCTAAAATTACTTTGGTTTCTAACTACATATAGTTCTAATTACTAATACCATGTACTAATTAGACAATGTAGTGAAGAAATGAACATTCTCATTAGCTAACATCGCAAACTGAAATAGAAGTTAATGAATAAGTATATGGAGGGAGCTCCAACCCGAAATCGAGTTCTTAATTATTCACGTACGTACAATACTTTATATTCTCAACGTTAATTTAATTGCATTTCAATATATAATTTTATATGTCAATTTTTTATCGTATCCAAACTTATAGACTTATGTAGTTCGATATAGCTTCTACCCTTTTGGCCAATTTTTTATCACCTAAATTTCAATTACTTGTGTGAAGGAGTTATCACTGAAAATAATGAACTTTATCATTAGTTAAACATCAAAAATAGAAATGAAAATGTAATTGATTCACGGACGTTAGTGGACGGGTCAACTAAAATGGCGTTTTATCTCAACGTGCTCACACAATCATAGTCCAATTTTATCTCAAAATTATATTACTCCCGGCAATTCTAGATAAAAATTCTAACTTATCTCTTTTGAACACCCCATTTAACGGTTTCTATTTTTATTTTAAAAACCAATTGCTAAGTGATGACATGCACTGTATGAGAACTTAATCATCACATGTTAAAAATACACTCATACATCTTAGTTATCATTAATTACTCTATTATATATTATTATGTATGCATCCAAACTACTTCTCAAAAAGTACAATTATTTTCTTATTTAATTATTATAAAAACTCTTTATATTTTTGAATCTTAAGTCGAGACGAAGGTACTATATTTTTGTAAAGATTGCAATAACATTTTGTTTCAAGTTCTTGATATCGCATATTGTCAACAACTTGGATATGTGTGTGTGTGTGTGTGTGTGTATATATATATATATATATAGAGAGAGAGAGAGAGAGTAGTGTTCCGGTCAGGAATTCCTGACTGGAACCGCCGTCAGGACGACGGCTTTTGGGGACCTTTCCGGTGAAGTTGTTTGATGAAATTTTTATGGCATGTTCTTCATCATGTCTAGTTTATCCACCAAAAAAATCAGCTAAAAACTCAATCGTGAAGGTCATCAAACGCAGTTAACTTGTAATCATTTTACGACCTTCCCGATTGAGTTTTTGGCTGAATTTTTTGTGGATAAACTAGACTTGATGAGGAACATGTCATAAAAATTTCATCAAAAAATTCCACCGGGAAGGCGACCAAACGCCGCCGTCCGGACGTTTTATTCCATCAAATAATTCGAAACGATGAAACTAATATCTCATACTAATGATAAATAATTATGTTTTCCATCCAACAAAAAAAACCATATTCTGACTTACACAAATATTTATGTAAGCCTTAGACGACATTCTTGTAGATATATCCTTATTTTGCGTCCGAATTAAGCAAAAGATAAGTAAAAAGTTAGTGTTGTTGTGATATTCCAATAATATATTTCTATTTATAGAAATAAAACACATTTGAAATGGGAAAAACTTCTTATCGTATTTAGTATACTACTACATAGTTTTCAAGTGAATAGAATGGTCCAATTGAAGTTGGCTTGACCACATTGGAATTCAACGCAGCTTATATGTATCTCATAGCTTGTTGAGAACTATTTTAGTGGCTGATTTTCTTTTGTTGCATGTTTCAGTTTTGCAAATAATCCAAAAGCGGGATGTTATATTTAGCTTCATAAGTTACTGGATGGATGCATGTCTCTTCCGGGCTTAGTCTCGATCAAGGCTCGCTAGATGGCTTGTTTCACCGTGTTCAAGAAATATGAATAAAGTCGGAGAGCATATTTTTGGCCGGAAAGTTTCTTGTCAAATGTTTCTGGGAATGTGCTCATCCTATATGTTTATTTCGGAGTATTTTTTTTTCAAGTTTGTGAAAATAGTTCTCCGGATGTGTGTTCAGAGTTCATCAATTTATGTTTGATAATAAGTCATTTGTGTGTACTTTTCTGAGCATATGTTGAGATAAGTGTTGAACAATCGCCTCGGAGTTTAAACAATTACGTTTCATGTGCATTACTGCTTTGACATTGCTTTGGATTGATGTTGTGATACGTGAGATATTCACAAGGATTGGATTTTTTAGTTCCTTTGAGCATGCCAAGAATAAGATCACTTTTCGTTTGCTCAATGAAGAACTTTCATTGACTAAATGAGAATTTGTGGCCTCATTGGGTATAATCTCAACACCATTCTTCATTGCGTATGAGATTACCTTCAATTACAGTTGTTCTTGAAGTAAGAAAACATTAGTATCAACTTTGATAATGATGGAGTTGACTGCATCTTATATATTAATCTTATGCAATCTAGGTCTCCATTCATTTTTCAAAGATTTGGTACTTCTGCATTATGTTATTTTAGATGCTACCAAATTAAATTAAGACAAGCATTCAGGTTTGCTTACATTGAGTCTTTGATCACATTGTCATTGAGACTATGGCACTAAGTAACATAGAATCAATATGAATTGAAAGCTGTGGGCGTGAGTGTTTTTTTATATAAATACTTCGTACTTAATTCTCTATCTTTTAATTATTAGGACCATATTTCTTATTGACCGGTTCTGATCAATAACTCAAACTATTACATTTATATTATTCATAAAAGTCTTTGCATCATTATTGATTAGCATTTATTCCTTTTCAATTAGAACATACCGATATAGCTTAGGGAATGTTATTTGATCAATAGAAGCTAGCTGTAAAACATAAGAATCGAATTTCAACAAAAGCTCAGTGATGAAGTTAGTTTGTCTTATAGAATTATTTAAAAAAATAATAAAATTTGGCCATAATTCTTTTATTTTGAAAATAAAAAAGCGCCTACACACTAAATAGATATAGTTATTTGGTTTAATTAAGGTTGTCAAACCCCAGATTGCAAAAAAGAAAGACCAAATCATTGGTTTTGAAAATTTGCGATTTCAAGTGAAGAGTCTGATGATTCAAAATTCCTCTATTTTAGAAGTGGAGCTAGAGTCTGATGAATAGTCTGACCCTTCTTCGTTTTCTTTATATGTTCGGTAATGAATCATATTTCCATGTAGCATGGTGAATTTTTAGTGTGCATTGTGATGTAGTTGTTATTTGTTAGATAAGTTGGATAATAACTTTGAATGCTTTTGGATTGATTGTTTTTTCCAGCTCAATGTATGATTGAGTCAACTAACATACATACTCGATGTGTGTATTAAGTATTAAGTTTCACTCCACTCTTTAAGAGTTGAATCTAATATGGAAATAGCTCAAGATATATGTGTTATGTATTTTTGTATTTGAGAAATATGAGATGACTAACGATGTGAACCTTCAATTTTCTATCTTTGATGTTCTACAACGATTATAATACACACTGCACATTATATTATAGAGAAACATTTGTATTCTCACACTAAATGTTCAATTATTTTATGATATAAAAATTATTTGTAAATTTTGTCTACCAAATGTGAATTTAGTTATTTGAGTGATGCACTCAACAAGAACAATTTTCTATTTACTATTTCTCTTTTGATGTGTACTCTATTGGCTTTTTTTTCCTTCAATGTGAATATTGACAAGTCAAGCAAGTGCTTTTTAGCAGCAAACTTATCCCTCTAATAGAAAGGGCTAATGTTAGAATAAGATTAAGCATTGAGAAAAGTTGTAGAATGTGGATTGGAGGTCGCCCATGCTAGATTGGACGAAAGATCACGACAACAGTGATGTTTATACTTCCCACTGCATCACCAAAAACTGTTATTGTATAATTCGATCAGAACAAGAAATCTCACGATGGTATGATAATTGATTGAGATGATATTTAAGGATAAATTCTTTTATATTGTACATGATTTATTCCGTGTCTTATGGGTAATTTTCATGCTTCTGGAAACTACATTTTTTTGAAAGAAAAAACTGCTTATATTAATATTATTAAGATTCGGATCGTTACAACAAACTCAACGAGACCAAAACTGAAAAAAACTATCCATAACCAACTAACACTATTAACCCTACGACTAGACTTAGAAACGACCGCCCCTGAAAGAGCAATACGAATCGCTAAACACCAAACGGGTGTGACACACCAATCACTGGCCATATAGATCCTCCTAACGACATAATATCTAGAAGAATTTTCAATCCTTATTGTAGATCTAAAACTAAAGACATCAGCAAAAAGCAGAGCAAAAAAAATAAACTTAACATGAAAGTAAGACCATAAAAAATAAAATAATTGACAAATACTCCAAACCCTAGCACCTCGATCGCTTCAGGGCGGCGGTTCAAGAGGGGGCGGCCCGCCGATCTGTCTTCTCCCTTGCTCAAAAGTCGATCCAGAAATTGCCAGACGATTTTCCAATCAATGGTATCATGAATCACAGACTTCCAAATCATATCCATAACAGCATGTCCATAAACATCAACAAAAGAGAAGCAAATCATGGAGAGGCAGAGTGTGATAACAACCGCCCTCCCACTTTCGCTCCAAATCATTCGCCGGACAAGAAACGTGCAAGCCGCTTGCCGAAAAGACAAATCCTAGACAAAAGCTAGGGAGAAGATCACTTCTATGCTAAGGACTAAGCTGCCTCGATCATCGTCAACGTCAAATATTATAAAATACGTAGTATTTATTTATTGATGAAGAAATCAAATTTTATTGAAGGAAGGCGGCATGACATGCATGTATTTTTCGTGGTCGCCATGATTGCCTTTGAAGATAGTTCGGTTCACTCGTATATTTATGAGTTATTTTCTTCTGGACACTGTACATCGAAAATAGAATGTTGCAGTATTAGATGTTATAATTGAAGATCACATTTTTTATCTTTAAATTTAATTAAAAATGAATTGTAAATGTTTGTGTACTAAAGTTCATGTTGGGGAATATTATTCCGGCCTATTATTGTTCAGAGACCCAAGGCATTGCCCCAGTACGGAACCCAGTCGGCGAGGCCCATTTAGGCCCATCAAGAGCCATTTAGGCCCACTCGGCCTGCTTGGCCGATATCGGCCCGATAAGGCTGTCCGGCCCAATAGGATAGCAAGTACACCCTCCCCCTTCTATAATTAGGAAAGCATGGCTTCCTATTTGGGGGATCTGGTTTTTCTCTCCCAGGGGACTTCCCCTCTTCTTCCCTGCTTCTTCTTAGCTTAGCAACAATAGTCCATTAATGGAGCTTCAATATTTGTATAAAATAATAGTGAGGAGAGTATTAATGAGAAAGAGCGGAATTGGACGTTAACCTAAAAAGTCTCGTGGTTTTCTCCCTTTCCGGGTTTCCACGTAAAAATCGAGTGTTATACTAAATTATATCTATATCTATTAGTTTATGTTGGACTAAACTCAACATTGGCGCCGTCTGTGGGAAACAGTTCAACAAGATTCATGTGTTCATGGCATTTCTACAAAAAAAAATGATAGAAAAACAAACTGTTCTTCAAAGGGAGAAAGTAGAAGGAATGATTCTGGAAAAAACTATAAGGGAAGAACTCCAGACTCAGTCCACCAGCTGGTCACCAACCACGGCCCCCGGGTCCTGGAAAAAGGTGGAAAACAAAGCAGAAGGCCAAAGGAGGTCTGTGAGCCAACCATGGTTATCCAAGAAGATGTGTGGGACCCGTGAGCCCACTAACCCGACAATACAGAAAAATTCCCACCCTCACGTGGGACGCCTCACACAAGAAGTGGGTGATTTGACTTATTCACCATTATCCAAAAGTAAACGCCGACTCCCGAACGGGAACTTCCTGAATGACCAAGTTAGCAGTTGCACCCGGAGGGAGTCTCAAGATGCCCGACCATTCTGGAAGAGCTGCAGAAGAGCTGCAGAGGTCGCGCACATCAGCAGGAAGGAGTAACCGTACGAGGCAGCATAGGCCCGAACTTCATTTGGAAGGAGACGACGTTTGGATTCTTAAGCAGCAACACCATTGACGGAGCGGGATTATGCAGGACCAATCCATTTTTGAGAATTAACCAAAGCATGAGCAATCCTACGCAGGAGGATTACCCGAACAGCCTCCAAAAAGATTTGTGTCCAGTCAGTAGTCCTGATTATCGGACCCCACACAGTAGCAACTCCAGACTCCAGAAATGATTAACCATTTTACTCCCGAACGGGATAAACTTTCAAACGGCCAGACCGAGATTCGCTGCAGCTGAGAGATATTCAGTGGTGACGTGCACTCGTCGTTAGGTGCACTCAAAATAATTAATCAATACGACACTAATACGTAGTATAGTGTAGTAAGGTTCGTATCCACAGGGAAAGGAATACTTTTCTTTTAAATAAATAGTAACAAAAGGGGGGTTTAGATTTGTTTGGTTTAATAACACTAAGATAAACGACCTATATGAGTTTAATTCAATGAGATGGGGACTTGGTTTTGCTTTTATCCACTTAATGAAATGTTCGTCGATCCCGGTTATATCTTTAACTATCTTCCTCTCGAATACTCAATCGAGGAGTATATCCAGTTCATCGAGGGTAGTTATTAATAACGAGATGCGTTCATTAATAAAACTTACTATCGAGTCAATATAGAACAAGCGCCGTATATTAACTTGATAGTAGCAATAAACTTAAGATGAAAACGATTGAGATTGATAACCTCAACACAAGCGGTTTATTGGTTTAATCAATATAATTAATTCCCCTTGGCATATCAACCATGAGATGCATGCATTAATATTCCAAGTTTACTACCGTTGAAAGAACCGGATTAATAACAAGCGTATTAACCGATTGATTCTAGTAATAATTAATATGAGAAACAATACTAGTTGATACTTTAAGTAATGTTTAAGATATTAACATGAAATGTGAATAGGAATTAATCAATACTCAAGGAAGAATATTAAAATATATGAATCCTACTATGATTAATATCAAGATGTTAACTAATTGTCATCTTAGTAACACTCCCCAATATTATCATAGAGGAAGAAATAGCTATTACTATAACCAATGTCAAGATGTTAACTAATTGTCATCTTAGTAACACTCCCCAACTTTGATATAGAGATAGTATTTTGAAAGAAAGAATTAATATTCAAGGAAGAAGATTAAAGAAAATAA